TACAGCTAACCGCTAGCTTGCTCAATCTCTAAGCGATCATTAGTTGTATTCTCATGTGTCTGCTCGATCAGGGTTTGGGTCAATGTTCTGCTCCAAACTTTGCATTTGGCTTTGTGGTTTTTAATTACTTGAGGACGTTCGTTTGTGTTTTAGCAAGCCTTTTCACCGTGGCTGACGACAGAGTTCTGTTTATCCTGTTTTTGGAGAAACATGTATGGAGAGCCGCAGCGGCCAAAATACTTCAAACATGGATGCAATTTCATCATGAATTTAGCTTAACATGACAGATTTCATCTCTGGTCAAGAAGTAATTACTGATAATATTATGGACGATAAAATTTGAGCCACCTCATAGAATTTTTATTAATTTATAATAATTATAAATATATAATAAATTAAAATGCCTTTGGGACATTTGAGACATGTGTCTCTAGCTCTTAACTGTGATTAGATAGATAGATAGATAGATAGATAGATAGATAGATAGATAGATAGATAGATAGATAGATAGATAGATAGATAGATAGATAGATAGATAGATAGATAGATAGATAGATAGATGATGGATAGATAGATGATAGATAGATGATAGATAGATGATAGATAGATGGATGGACGGATGGATGGATAGATGGATGGATGGATGGAAACAGTTACTAATCCAGTATAATAATGAACCAGATAAAACACATAAATATATAAACCTGCCTGTGCGTTAACAGACAGCTGTACCAGTGTTTTAAGGTTAGACTGGTAGAGAATGGTGCTAAGGGTAATGCTGGACAAGACTCATTACATTTTAATGCATTTAATCAGTATTCATGCAAACATTTTCTCATACCAGCTTGACGGGAGATGCCATTTTCATTTTGGTCAAATTTAGCTGTTGTCTTTTGTTCATCGACAAAAATGTTCATCAATATTCATCATAATTTATTCCTTATAGAAGTACAAATTTAAGTTTGTTTCATTTTCGTTCAAAAAAATTCATTTGTCATGAAATGGAAAATATTTCTTTCAAGGAAATTAAAACTGAACTAAAACAAGTCTTTTCAAAAATTCCCCTTTTGTGATGTCACAAACAGGAACATTAGAAAATATCCACCTCTGGCATGCAAAGGAGAGTTGTTGCTGGAGGAGCAGCGGCTCTTCTCTGAACCCCTCCCGGATATCAGAGGTTACAGCAGCCTAAGTAGGGGATGGGTGGGCGTGGCCAGCAATAGAGCTCTGAAATAGCTCATCTGGAAGGTACTGAAACTGTCCAGAGTAAAACTGCTGGGACGTCTTTATGTGAGAGAAATTTTTTACAAAGAAGTTCATGAACGTATTTTATACCAAACTATTATAACTTAAGAAACCAGACCACAATACGCCCTCTTTAAGTTGGATCTGACCAGTTGTAGTCAGGAGTTAAATATTCAGCAAATAAAGATGCACATAAGCAGCGTATTACTTCTTCAATAGTAACGGCTGAGCATGTTATACATACTGATGACCTAAAACACATCATTTAAGAAGAATGGCATCAAAATGACATTTGTCTTTAGCTTCATGTGTAATGTTTTTGTTATTACAATGTTTTATTTTTTGCTTGGACTGCTTCATTCTGCTGATCCCAACAGAACTCATTTTGCTGCTGTTTATAAATAGATACTTCTGCCGAGCGTTCTATTTTTAACCTTCACAATGTCAAAAATATCAGAATAGATCAGCGATGTTCACACAGGAATTATTCACCTGGCCCTAAAAATGATCAAGTAACATTTTTATGCTTTTGTACGACAGAAGGAGAAAATATATCCATGCCAGGATGCTACTCTAGATAATATAATTAAGATAATAATAGAAGTTATCATCTTAATTGTGGAGATTTTTCTTTCTAATATCATTACTCTTTTACTACATTTTATCATCTTTGACTTTACACACTTGGTAGTTTTTGCAATTTAAGCTTGAGGTAATTTAGGTTATCGAGGTAAAATAATCTAGTTGAAGCTTTTTCTTTTTGAAAAGAAACAAAACAATAATCTTGAGAGTGCAGCTCGAGCGCCTAAACAAGCGCTGTGACTTTCTGATCACCCGCGGGACTCGGTGAGCCGAGGGGGGAGCTTCATCTGCAGCTCGCAGGCAGATTAGGAGCTCTAATGGTGGAAAAAACAGCGCTTCCTTTTGAAACTGAGCACACTTGATTTGTTTGTTTGTTTGCAGTATCTTTTTCATACTGGTGTTATTTAAAAAAGAAACAGCTTTCTTCAACCAGTAGTGATATTAAAGGGGTCATACGTGTTTGCTAATAATATTTTAATTCTGGCGGGTGGTTTGATGATGTCACAAACTGCTGTTGTGGTTTAAAATAAGAACTTTGTCCATTTAAAAATAATATTTTTAAAGGCCCAAAACTTCTTGAAGTTCTGCTTCCATTCATGCTGGAGTAATAAACTATCATCGTACGATGAGAATAGACGGAGTTAGCTTGTTTTGGTTGAATCCAGAAAGATGGTTTAGGATCTATCCCCTCTTTCCACTTCACGTGAAAGCGGTGCAAGATGGCCGCGAAACCCATACGCTGCAAATAGCTGCCGTGAAATTAATGAGTTCCTTTCCACTAGCGGCGAAGTGTAAAGTTTTGGACGCTCCCCAGAAGCGAGGAGACGCCATCATTACGTTTTGTAAACGCTACGCTTCCAAAACACGCCAAACTCCACAGTTTAGATCGTGCCAGACAGGAAGTCAAACACAAAACTTTTGGAAACTGTCTTACCGTGTGTGGACTTATGAAGTCACATGTGGTGTTGCAATTCCCTGTGATTTTGTGACCTCATGTGATCAGCTGTGTGGAACGCTCTCCCTCCCGTTTTGCGTCAGAATTGCTCCCTGTGGGGAATGAGCTCATGGGAAAACGCCGCTGGAAAGAAGGGGTTATACAATAAGGGCCAAAGATGTCCTCTAGCTACTACCGTGCAACATTTCAAGGTTGAATATGGAACAATTTAATAAACAGCTATATGTTTAAAAGTAACACGCCCACAGGGTGTTTAGAGGTGTGCAGAATGAAGGTACAGTATTTCCTTTACAAGCTATATTTTATAGTCAAACATTTATTTTGACGAACACGACACTGGGTTTATGTTTACATCTATCAAGCAGCTGCTTCTGAGCCCAGAAGAAGTGGTTGTCCTTGTCAGCAGAGAGCAACCATAAAAGATCTGAAGCCAGAGTGAGTTTAGGTGATGCCTACAACTGAACCGAATAAAGCATTTCACCTATCGGCAGCAAACCTGGTGTCCCGACGGCTGGAAGCCTTGTTCTGTTGCTGCAGTTACAGCCTCCACCCACTAGATGTCACCCTGGTGTCCGTGGTCCATATTTCACCTTTAAGGTTGAGTTTTTATCAGAAAAATTACTCTTTCAGTTTAGAGTGGGTCTCAGGATTAGAACCAGGTTACGGTCTATGGTTCCAGCTTTCACCTCCAAGTCTCGGACTGATTTTAGCCAAATCTCTAGAAAACTGAGAGTTACTTTTATTTATTTTCTCCTTTTAGTTAGCTGTGGTTGCCATCTTGAGTTGGATTGACTCCAAGTATCTGTCAGTTGTAGATGTCTGAGAGTTTTAATGAAATCTGTTGAGTGGTTCTGACTAAAAACCCAAAGCAAGCGTCTGGTTTCCTGGTTTTTATCAGGGGTGAAGATCCCCCTGAGACAGGCTGCAGGTCCTTATGTTGTTTTCCACAGATCCTTTTTTATAGCAACTTGTCTCAGCTTATAGCACACCGTTTTTTGCAGTATGTATTTAGTTATTTGTGTAACTTAAACAAAATAAGCAATGGCAGGATGTCTACAGCAGAAGGAAGCTGAATGTTGGTGTGCACCAATTAATTTAGAGCCAGCACGAGTTTTTGTTTCTAATAATTATGCAGCAAATCCTAAAATCCCCGGTTGGAGTTTCAGGAAGAGATGGCTGCTGAGAGATCAGCTGTTTCGTTTTTTTAAGAACATTTCATATCAACAAAAGCACAAAGCCCGCCGCATCACAGGGCGTGTGGGTTGTAATCATTTTGTTTTGTAAAAATTACGACTGATTGTTAATCGGTGCTACACAAACCAGCCAAATTAAAACTGAAATGAGTTTTTACTCAACGGTTCCAAGACTAGAAGTCCGACTAATTAATCATGTGGAAGAAACACATCTCACCGACATCAGGCAAGCTCAGTGTCCTGATAGCTGCAGCTTTGCAGGTGAAGTCAGAGAAATGAAATCCATCTGTGTTCAGCATGCGGATAGGAATGAATCCGTTAATGAGGTGATTTATTAGCCCTAACCCAGTAACCTGATCTGGTTTGTGCACAGCAAAGGAAAACAAAGGACAGTCTGCGGCTTAACTCTTCATCTATTTAGATACATGTCATGTCCAACTACTGCTGACAGAAAGTCTCCAGGTTGGATTTTTCACACATGCAGAGTTCTGCTACACCTCAAGATGCTCCTAACGGCGATCTGGACATCTCCAAAACCAGCGAATGTCCACAGTTAATAGATGTAAAGCACGGTGGTGGAATAATTGCTTTAGTTACAGAACCGTGTTTCATTTCAGATTTCTGTTGTGAGGTGAGCAAAGGGAAAAAATCTTTATTTATTGTTGCTGCTGCAGGTGTTGTGATTCACTGTGAGAGTTGAGACCTTCAGGCTTTGTTCTGTGGCGTTTGAGTCATATTGAGCTGCCGTAGCTCTGAGAGAAACTGGTGCAAATGACAAGCTGGTTCACTGTGTCGTAACCCACTGTGGATTTTTGTAGAATTACTCTCTAAAGGGTTGGTAAACTGCTGACATCACTTACTTTGTGAACCAAACTCAGAAAATTATTTTCAAAATGCATTTTGACTGGAATAAAAGATGTTACAGGGACCTTAACTTGTTGGTTGTGTGAGTTCTTTTATAAATCCTGAACGGTTGCATTACCCAGGTCCAGCACTCTGATGGCTGTCTTTTGTCCACCTTGCAGGGCTCGTGGAAGTGGTGGTGACTTCACTCTCCCAAGCTGCACCAGTCTACCTGGGTGGAGAGAAGCAAGCTGGAAGGAAAGTCAGCCACCTGGTGCTGCAAGCCTTTCTGGAGCTGCTTCACAACATCCTGAAGCAGATCTCAGCTGCTGTTCAAGCTGCGCTGCAGGTACAAGAGCTCTAGTACCATAAAAACTCTTCTAAGGCTTTGTCACATTTCTGTTGAGTAGCTGTGAGCTGCATGTCCAGCTTTAAAACCTTAACTCAGTTCATTCTCTCGTGCTTTTACCGCTTTATCCATAGTGAGCCCAAATTCACCAGCTAGAGCACGAAGTCAACTTCCTGTGTGTGTGTGTGTGTGTGTGTGTGTGTGTGTGTGTGTGTGTGTGTGTGTGTGTGTGTGTGTGTGTGTGTGTGTGTGTGTGTGTGTGTGTGTGTGTGTGTGTGTGTCCATTGATGTATCCAGTGAAAGCTAGCAGGTTTAACTAACTGCAACATTGAAGTTGTGGACTCAGGAGAAAGCGGATGAGGTCCTGTGTCCCTGGGACACACACACACACACAAACACACACATACTGAGGGGCCTGTCTGGCTATGTCCCTGCGGCCTCATTATCACCGCTGGCTTTATCCTCAGTTTGCCTCACTATATAGACACACACACATGAACAAGCCCCCATCTCCCCATACTGTGCACCCCAGCCCAACGCATACATATTAATGCCTGGACAAGGTGGTGGGGGGGACTAAAGTGAAAAGGGGGTGAAAGAGAGGACGGAAGGGAGTGAGGGAAGGGTGGAAAGATTGAAGGAGAAACGAAGATGGAAAGGGAGCAGGGAGAATGTGCAGCGGAAATCAATTCTACCAGAAATGCAAAGCTCATTAAAAAGAAAACTTGTGTCCAAACCAAATTCTTTTGGGTAATCAGGTCTGATAAGGAGCGAGGACGTGACTCGATCGCCCTCCCCTAGCAGCTGGTCAAGAGAGAGTTAGTCAGATATATAAGCACAATGGGAAGATAAAGATAGGAGGGAAAGTGTAAACCAGCAATAATCACATTATCCCAGCATCAGTGACCTGAAAGTGCACTGTGGGCATGAACAGAAGTGAAAAAGAAGAAAAAACTAAAGGTCAGAGGTCATGAGAGTAATTTTCATGAGATGCAAAAACAAATAGTCTCTGTATGACCAACTAAACCTTGTTAACGTAGTGTGGCAATAACACTCCGAGAGCAACTGTTTCCCATCCCAATCTGATGCAGAGCCTTCCTGTGTCAGCCTGTCAGAATGAGTCTCGACAAGTCTCTGGATAAATCATTATTGACTGTCAAATCTCTATAAATGATTTAACTTGTGTGTGTGTGTGTGTGTGCGTGCGTGCGTGCGTGCGTGCGTGTGTGTGTGTGTGTGTGTGTGTGTGTGTGTGTGTGTGTGTGTGTGTGTGTGTGTGTGTGTGTGTGTGTGTGTGTGTGTGTGTGTGTAGAGCCAGAGGCTATCTTGTCCACCAGCAGAGACGGAGGCAGCAGAAAAGCTGCTCGTAGCCAACAGACCCCTGAGCCAACTCAGCACTCACCTCATTCACATGGTGAGACCAACACCCCCAGATCCTGTGTGTGTGTGTGTGTGTGTGTGTGTGTGTGTGTGTGTGTGTGTGTGTGTGTGTGTGTGTGTGTGTGTGTGTCCCAACTGTTAATACGAAGGTTTGTGATGATGATGATGATGATGATGATGATGATGATGATGATGATGATGATGATCAAAATGTCCTTCTACACACTCTGGACATGCCTGCTCTGTAGCTGCATTACATGACAAAAATAAATTTTAACTGAATTTCTGCTTATGGGGGCAAAAAAAATCATGTTTACAAACATTTAAGCCGATCATAAAATCTGAATTATTTTCATTAAGGTAGGAAATTATCCAGAGTTCACTTTGTAAATGAAGGAGAAAGGATTTTTATATAGCACCTTTCAAAATAAAATGCTTCACAAGAACAATAAGAATAAAATAATTAAAAAGAATCATATCAAAAATTAAGATTAAAAGTGTGAATAAAAATTAAAGAAACTTGATCATGGAAGCCTGAAAAAGACAGACGTAACAGAAAGACCAGCATGAAGGGAAGGTTGCAATGAAGAATCAGCAGAAGGTCACACCAACGCCTGAACAGGTGATTTTAAAGGAGACCACTGAGTCCACTGATCTCAGGCTCAGGGGGAGAGAGGTCCAGAGTCTGGGGGCCACAGCAGCAAATGATCTGTCACCTTTGGTCTTTAGCCTGGTGCTGCACAACCAGTAGGCTTTGGTCGCTGGGCCTCAGGGACCTGCTGGGGGTGTAGGGACTGAGAAGATCACCAATGTATGGTGGTGCTTGTCCTTGTAAGGCCCTATAGACCAGAACCAGGATCTTGAAATGAACCCTGAAGTTGACTGGCAGCCAGTGAAGCTGGAGGAGAAGCGGGGTGATGTGGGTGTGTTTGGAGGACTTGGTCAGAAGCCGAGCACAGGCATTCTGAACCAACTGTAGACGGTTCAGGGAGGTTCTGGTGTGAGAAGCAAGCTGACCAAGAGAGTCTCTGACTTTGGGAACCAGCTTTTCAGGGGCACAGATGAGGATCTCAGTCTTATCTTCATTCAGCTGAAGAAAGTTCCCACCATCCAGGTTTTAATAGTCTAAGCAGGTGTGTAACAGCTGCAGCTTAGACATTTCATGGGGCTTAAAGGAGATGTACAGTTGGATGTCATCTGCATAAAGATGGTAGGAGATTCCTTTGAAGGAGCTCAGGATGTGCTGAAGAGGAAACAGAGGATGAAGAGTCGAGGCCCCAGCACAGATCCTTGTGGGATGTGATGGATTTAATTTAATAGCAAAGTTATTTGTTAATTCAGAAGATCTAAAGAGCTTTGTTCGTTCAGTGATCAATAAACACCCACTCTGTGTTTATTTCAATGAAGAGTCAAGTTTAAAATGAAGTTAAGAAATTTATTATTAACAATTTATAAAAGCTTTGGTATTAAATACTTTGGTATTAAATAGCAACCCTGTGAATGGATGAATCTAAGTGAAAGTGTATGTTTGTTTGTGGGTGAAAGCGTGATCAGAACGTGTATCTTGGAGAGAGGAGCGCGTTCTGGGTGAAAAGGAATTTGGTGGTAGATAACTAAAGTTGTTCTTATTGAAGAGCATTCAGACGCAATCTTGTGTTCTACCTCACCGTTTAGACGACCCTCTGTTCAGATCAGGAGGTCAAGGGAGGATGTTGATCAGCCTCTGGGTACCCGGTCCGGTAGGGAAGACCAGTGGTACTGACTCTCTGGTCCTAGAGATGCCGCAGGCACACAGGTGTGGAATTTGTTTACGTCTGAGCAGATTCTTAAGGAATCTCGTAGCGTCAGCTTTGTTCTGCAGGTGTCGTTTGTTGTGTCGTAGCAATTCTGCCAGCGTGACCGAGATCACTTGTTGGTTAAAGAGCGTTGGGCGGCCGTCCCACTTCTCTAGAACTCACTCGCTAAATGCCGAGAGTTCTGTTTTATAAGATGGGCATTTCCTGGTCTAACGAATCAGGTGTTGACAGGAAGATTTAACCGTCTTCCCTAAAGATAGGAAGTTCTCGTGGATGAGAAAAGAATCATGTGAGTGCAGTTCACCTTAACCTGATTTACTGTGTCCTGTATGATTGTGTATAAGTGCACATGATCTTCTTGTCACTGTTAAACATTACTGATTATCATAAATAATAATTATTAATAACCAAAGAATAATAATTCATTTCAGTAATTAAACACTGTTATAATGAACCATGATGATTATTTATGAACATTGTAATAGACAGTGAAAAGAGTTTATTAAAATGATACTTTTAAATCTTGAAGTGTCTTTCGTCTTGCGGATGGAACAGCAGTCAGATTAAAGGGCTGGTAGACCGACATTCAGTCTCCTGTGAAAGAAACACTGTAGATTGTTGTAGCAGCCAGGATCAAAGTGACCCAGGCTGTGTGTCTGACCTGAGGGTCAAGAATCAGGTCATTCAGTGACGCTACACCGGTATCACTAATTATTACGTTTTTTCAACTGAAGATCGGTTAATATGAGCTAAAATAAATCTAAACGGATCCTTATTTCAGGCTTTTGTCTAACCTGATTTCTCTTTGCTGATTCTGAACATAAATGAATTACATACATTTTCTAATGTGTGCTTTAGTCCTGGTAAAGGTCATTTTTTACAAAAGTTCAGCTGTGTGCAACATTTAGAGAATGGATAAATAAAAGCAGATTTACTATTAGGTGAGTGAACTGTTGATGCACGAAGCAAAATGCCACCATGAAGTTCTGAGTTATCGTAACCATTCACATGGGGAACAACAACCTAATTATTGTGGGTACCGTAAATCCTCTAATATTAGCCTGTATTCAATTAACAGCCGGGTATCATATTTTGGCCGGTGTCGGAGTCGGCGGAGGTGAATAATGGCCGGTATTTTATTGTGGCCGGGTGGAATGTGGTAACAAGCAAGTACGGGGGGCGGTTGTGTCATCCGTCTCACTTTTGATTTGCCAGTGATAGACCGCGAGGGTAACTTTAACCGTGCGGAGACGAAGAGGAGGCGAAAATTTGATATCAAGTTCAAAGAGAACGTGCTGATTATGCTGCAGAACACTGGGGAGCAGTAGCAGGGGTTGTATGAACTAGTCGACTTCACTATAGTGACTTTTTATGCCCGTCATCGACTAGTCGCTGTCACGTGATAATGATCGGCAAGATGCAGCCCTCGGAAAAGACAGCAGCTTGCTGTCAGCAGGTGACAAGCTCCTGCGCTCGGGGGGGCAACGCGCTGTGCCAGAGCGTCGGTACTGACATGCGATCGTTCATGTCGGCTCATTTCCTTTAATGTTTTCTGTCTTTTATTTGCGCCTGATGCATTTCGCTGCTGTGGAGCGGGGCGCATCACCTTGTCCTCCGACGCACTGATCACTGATGCGGCCGCCAAGCAGCGAGCACTCCGCTGTTTTTGTGGTCGTTAGATCTTTTAGAACTGCAGTTTAAAGGTCATAAGGTGAATATATGAACCCAGGTAGCAGTTTTTCTATAGGATTGAGAGGAGATGCAGGAAGATAATAAACAGACAGGACAGAAAAATAGTCAAATAAAAACAAGTTAGTTTTTGTACCTGGTGGTTGCAACAAACAGACACCATTGAAGGTAATCAGAAGTGAGGAACAGAAAATGAAATAATTATTTTAATGTTTAGAGCAGCAGGAACTCCGAGAGGCTGCAGGCGCATCAGTGAGTTTGCGGCCGCTTTGCAGGGGGAGAGGGCTAAAGCAGGGGGAGGGGGGAGATGGCTGAAGCAGAAACTACTGTTGTTAAAAGAAATGTGTTTAACTTAGAAAATGTGGGCGCAATTTTAATTGTCAAAAACTCCAGCGAACCATTAGTTAATTTTGCTCAAATAAAAATAGAGGCCTGCCTCTAATTCTGGTCCTCCTTCCAATAAAGGCCTCGAGCTTGATGAGCTTGAGTCAAATACAGGCCCGGGCCTGTATTAGAGGATTTACGGTATATTACATATGTGCAAAAGAGGCAGAGCAGCAGATCTGCCCTACCTTTTGTTCAATTCAAAAATACTTTATTAATCCCAGAGGGAAATTGATTGCTGTAGTAGCTCAGAATAATAATAATAATTAAAGCTGCAAGCAGCGTCGTTCGGCCCTCGCAGCTCCGCGCCGCTCCGGCCTGGCCGGCAGCCCGGGGCACCAGGGCACGTCCAGCAGAACAGAATCGTCAACCACCCCGACACCAGAAACCGCGAACGGCCTGCTAGTCCGCACCTCACACTGACTCAGCATCCCCTCTGAGTTCACCATTAAATTGAATTGAAAGGTCACGGCGCCAAGCCAGAATTCGCCATGGCTTCAAAGCCCCTCCCTTTCTGGAAAGCTATCAGATCTGAATGGTCATTACAACATCATGAAGACAGTGCATGACCTTAGTGTCATGTTGACTTAATTAGAGGGGACCAGTACGGGCATTTCACCATAAAACTATAGACTTCCTGTAGTCAGGGGGCAGGGCTTAGGTGATGTTAGCTGTCCACATTGTCATTGTCTTCAGATGTGGTCAGTGATCACACAGACACAGTTTGATATAGATCTGATCGTGCACATGGGAGTTATTAAGTCAAGTAATGTAATGGCGAAAGGTCAAAGTTTGAGGCTTAGCCACGCCCACACCTTTCAACTTTTGAAAAATCCGACGGTTGAATTTTTCCCCCTATGTCTTAAGAGTATATATAAGAAATGAGAGGCAAACGTATGTCCATGGCGTGATGGCGATTTTTGCCATGCTCCCAAAGCCCCACCTTTTTTTGAAACCTGCCAGTACTGGATACCAAGTGACCTCACGTTGTCTACTGCTACTTGCCAGAGATTCCTGCTGATTGGGTAAAAGGAGTCCAGTAGGGAGCTGTGAAAAAAAGAGTGGTGTGGCGACAGGTCAAAGTTTGAGGCTTAGCCACGCCCACACCTTTCAACTTTTGAAAAATCCGACGGTTGAATTTTTTCCCCAATGACTTAAGAGTATA